GTGATCTAACTACTGGATGATTTCGGTAGGGCTCAATGACATTTTATTGGCCTTACAAGTTTTTAATTTCTTTAGGTTAAATGTTATAAGACTTTTCTTTCTGAATATTTTGACCTGTTCATTTAAATAGTTTCTATGACTTATATAATAGTATGATGTATACATTAGAAAAATATGATTAATTATGTTTTATATACGGAATCTGACTAAAAAAAATAGTTTTGATACCTTAACAAAACGTCAATAAATTTGTATTACAGTTTCAGACTAATAATAAAGAGCATTCTTATAGTTAATAAAAGATTAATGAATAGATTTCTAGGATTTTGAATGTATTTCATTTCATTATATATATCACAATTATAATAATTGTTCTACTTACAAGTAGCATTTCTATCCTGATATAGTAATCTATTTGCGTCAAATTGTTAACATTTCATTATAAGGAGCTAATTGAATATTTGATTAATTCAACGTATCAAAATATCATCTCACCATTATTTTTAATTTTTCACTGAATTCATATATTAAAAATGACAATTTATGGTAAACATTGGTAAAATGGCTAGTAATGTGATCTACGACACGCGCTTTGTTTTATTTGGGTCTAATCAGCTGGATATACTTGCATCCTAGTACTGATATCCGCCTCAAGATCCTAACGTAGTGAATTACACTGCAAACCCTCTTTAAGTTGTTCACTAAACTACTGAGTCCATAAAGTCATTGTCTTATGTAGGAACGGTAATATAACTTGTAAATACTATTATCTTCTAGTTATTGATGTTATGAATTGCAGTTAGTCAGTATAACTATGAATAATGAGATAAAGGTACAAATAGCTGTCAAGTCTCAAATATAATGAAATTAGAGCCATAGGTTGCAATACTAGCCACTGTTGTAACTTCAAATAAAAGTCATAAACAATTGAAAAATATCAAGGCAATCTGCATAAAACAAACATGTTTCCAAACTGATTGGTCAACTGCAGTCATCAACGTCACCAATGGCAACATACAAACATTTACAAGTTGAAATGATATTTTAATAGTTGAGATCATGAGTCAACTGAAGCTAGACAACTATGGAAAACTTCGAATCACTTGATGGCCGTTTCGTTCAAGTATGGGACACCTCAGCAGTGAGCATTCACGACCCCGCCTCGTGGGATTCGAACCCAGAACCCGTCAGTCTTGCGCGCGAGTGCTTAACCTATAGACCACTGAGCCAGCCAGCATCCAACGGTTTTAACACTTAACTTCAACTTATCCATGAAATTGAGCGACACACCCACCATTGTCATCAGTGAGTTACTATCTCAAAACTGACATTATTGAACTCCACTGGTCATTGCTTCTCACTGGAACTCCAGGATATTCCTCTTGAAGCTGTGGATGGTAATTTATTTGGACAGTTTTCGAAATCTATAAGAAAAAAGGTTAACACTTATCAGTATTGAGTATAAGCTTGTAACATGGTAGAACTCAATTACATTTTGATTATTATAGCTAGATTTTAGAATAATAGATAAAATGTTACTAAACTTTTAATTGTATTGTGGGTTTTTTGTAAAAGTAGGTCCTGGGTTTGAATCCCGCAGGAGGCGAGGTTTTGAATGCGGACTGCTGAGGACTCTCACAATAGAACGAAACGACCGTTCAGTGCTTTCAGGTTTTCCATGGTGTTCTAGCTTCAATTGACTCATGATCTTAACTATTGAAAAGTAAATAAGTTTAAATATTATACAGTAGATATTGTTATTATGAACTACTAAATTGTATAGTTAGTTATGAAAAATAATTAAAATGCCTGAAAGTAAAAATTTCATTTCAGAAATATCTCTGTAAGAAAATAATATTGAGAGAGAACGAGAAAAGTGATCTAAACAAATCTAATCTAGTCCGTAATACCCACTAGTATACATATTCATTACTTACTTACTTACACCTTTTACTCCCAATAGAGCATAGGCAGCATTCTCCAACCCACTCTGTCCTGGGCCTTCTTTTCTAGTTCCATCCAGTTCTTATTCATTTTTCTCATGTCTAGCTCCATTTTTCGGCGTAATGCGTTCTTTGGTCTTCCTCTTCAACCCCTCCGACCTTGAGGATTCCATATGAGGGCTTGTCTTGTGACGCAGTTCGGTGCTTTCCTCAATGTGCGTACTATCTCATATACTATTTAGTTAAATTCATAAGCCGTGGCTTTTTGACGGTACTTTGAGAAATCCATATTTATGAGCTGGTAATTACTGAGCATTTGATTTCAAATTAATCGATCAGTGAATACTTAAAATAGTTAATTAAAATAGAAAACGAGATACAATAATTATTTGTATTTCATATCACTTTATTCGTTAGGTTACTTAATCAACATGATCTTCATATCCATCTTTTTTTATTGCGCTTTGATTTTATATATATATTCACTGCATTTCACGATTGATCTTGTATTGAACAACTTCATATTAATATCAGAAGGGGTTTTGTGGAGATTGTAGTAATTTCAATGGTTAAGATCATGAGTCAGTTGAGGCTAGACCACCATGGAAAACCTGGAAGCAATGGACAGTTGTTTCGTCCTATTGTGGGACTCCAATAGGTATGCAGAAAGTCGTCCAAAATAGCAGACTGTGTAACATTAAACTTTAATCATAAAATAAAATCATCGAATGAAAAACATTTAAAAATTGACTACCTTACGTTGGATCTATGAAAAACTATGTGACAAAATGTTGTCTAGTACTCTACAGTACTCAATGCCTCTACATCACCCTATCATAACATAAGACAACTTATCTTTACAATATACTTAGATTTTCTTCATAAAGCAATTTATAATTTGTATTTCATCCTGATTTATACCATAATAAATGTGATGCAAATATTAGTTTCTATACCTTTATGATCAATTTAAAAATAGCATTCAATTCCATTAGAACAGATATTAGCAAAACTATAATGTTCAGACTGAATTATAGGTAAAAAAAAAGTACCTACATAAGTAAAGAAACTAAATAAATAATATGGGTTGTTACAAGTCAGTTGATCAGATTATTTTCTAACATTTTATTTGATTGACGGAGTGACTTTGTTGTACATCCGCTGTTATATACAACTCCAATTTTTAAATTATTCAACATGATATATGTTTCAGTCATCCAACTAAATCAATATTTAGATAAATCTCTCTTTGACAATTATATATATATATATATATATATATATATATATATATATATATATATATATTATTACAGGCAATTTATTTATCCATATCTGTATCCGACCTAATCTAAGATAATTAAGGTCGACTAACACTGAACTAATATGACAATATTAGTGATGTTTTATTTATATACTATGTGATCAATGAATATCGAAAACTATGTTGACAGCGTTGACCGACTGATTTCATTGTTTGATAGAATTTGACTTTATCGTTCATGCGCATCTTACTTATATATATTTGACTTTAAAACATCTGATCATATCATTGAAGTAGAATCAATCAACAAAGAAATGTTTCGTGATTTGCAAATTGTCAACATTACAAATACTTCTGGATTATGAGATACAAACTGGTATGATTACTTTAAATTCATTAGTTTGAACAACACTCAAGAACAATATTGAAATGTAGACGTGTGGTTGTGTAGTTGTGTATTTCCTGTGATTATCTGATATTATTTTCCATTGAATGTTCCAAAGTAGTTTACAGGTTCACTGTATTACTCTGCTTTTCAACAAGTGGTTTATTTATTTGCATGTCAGCCATTGTTAATTAACGATATGTGGATAATTTTGATGAGAAGTGGAAATCAGATAGAGAATTTGCAAAGACTAAATAGCTATTTTATTTTGGCATTGACAGAATACATATGCGCCTCACAAGTCGCTTGATTTGTGTGTGCTCTGATACTGCCCGAGTGCGCAGACCAAAGCAGGTGGTTTTCTTAGGGGGCCACGCCGAGAACCTTCGACCTAAGGGTCTGTTCCACATGGCACTGTAGCAACATAAGGAGATGCAGTCCCATGGTAGCCGGTGACAAACAATTGGTTCATACGCCATCTGTTTTCTCGGGATACTGAAGCCCATTTTCACCACTGGTTAGGAATCATGGTTTTCCTACTCCCCTAGGTTGATCCTCCGTGTCCATCAACCTGAGTATAGCGCCGAACATTCGCTTTTTATCCTCTCAATTTCGTAAATAACACCCCGCCTCGAGAAGGCAGTGATTAGTACTTCCCTGGCAGTTGCTGTGTACGCATGGCCATGTGAAAGCATTTCGAGAGGGAGAGTGGACTTTCCCCACTCAAGGCCGTATCAGGGCATCTGGGGGTAAAAGTTCGAGCTAGGATAAACAAGAACAATCAAAACGAATAAAATGTTTTGAAAATTTATATGCATTACTTCTTTTGAAAATGTTTCATGAAGTTATTTTAGTGTTCGTTTCATTATTTTTTTGAATAACTCACTAAAATAATAAAAAGATCATTTAGAATTTCATTGAGAGCTTAGGAAAATATTGTATCTTATGCTTAGTGATTAGGCAATACTCGTCTCACTCGACAGTTTAATTTTATCAGTGTAAATATTTACTTGATTGGTTACTTAGTAGTGACCAATATTACGCTTGTTTAATTATCGAACTTTATCGATCAACCTGTATAATCACTAGTTTAATTGATTCGAGATCGGATGCACTATTTTGAGATTTTAAGTGATTGAAGGTAGTCAACACTCGTCAGTAAGGTTTATCTCTAATCTTGAGGGGACTGGTGTTTTATGAAAGACTTGACTGATCACTACTCAGCTCTATAGTTCGATACGTGAAAACTGACCCATTTAGGCAGTGATTGACTTCGTTTGTAGGATTAATATGATTCACAATAGATTGATCACTTAGTAGTATTGTTTGAGTATATTTTGTTAATAATCGAAGTTTTTTGAACAAATTCGAATATGTCCACTAGTCTGATATAATTTGTATATAATAAAATGAAAACATTTATTTTAATGAGTTATTTTTATGTACCAAAATTTTTATTATCACATTGTTATGTCTATTTCCGTTGGTCTTCTTTTACTTCGTCTTTTTCTCTTTCTTCTTCTTCTTCTTCTTCTTTTTCTCCTTATCCTTCTTCTTCTTCTTCAAGTATTCTGTTGTTTCGTTTTGAAAATAATTATTTGGTTAAACAAAAACTACTACTAATCAAGGTTACATATGTACCAGTCAAAAACATCTTTTATTATGTAAGTGAATTAGTGAGACACTTGAAATCATACAAAATGTTACAATAGGGAATAAATTTTTTCTTTACTTATCATTTAAATTATTTGTTTCAATCTATTAGAATGAATTAATATTTTACGTCGGATAAAAACAAATCCACGAGTCATCTGATTTAAATAAAGATATTCATTCATTAATAATTCGATTACAATAATAGTGTAACAAGATATAATTCGTTGACAAATAGTAATGTGGTTATTATTTTTTTTCTTTAATTTTCGTCTAATCTACATATACATATAGGAAACTCAATTTTAACATAAAGTATCGAATCAGAAGGGGTTTTGTAGAGATTTTTAGTCATTTCAGTAGTTGAAATCATGAGTCAATTGGAGATAGATCATCATGGAAAACTTGGAAGTAGTGGATGGCCGTTTCGTTCTAGTATGGAACTCCTCAGCAGTGAGCATTCACGATCCCGCCCCCATCCGCGGGACTCGAACCCAGGACTTATCAGTCTCGCGCGCAATAATTATCATTTTGCTTGATGATTTAAACAGTTTCCATTGGGGAAGTTTTGTTATTGTGTGTATTCAGCTGACGAAACATGTGTAAACATGTCTAAATTCTATGAGTGACTAAACGTCATGTTTTTTGAAGCACAAAATTTAGAAAGAGTTCAGAAGTATTTTAAAGAGTACAATAGTACAACTGATATGAAACATTATTTGGTTAAAAATAGATGGGTCTACTATGGATGACGTTTATGAATAGATAATGTGGAGTTCGTCCGTGTTGGGTGAGAGGTAGTTACCCACCAAAAACAATGAAAGATGGTCGTGCATATCGTGTATTTGTTGAAATTAGACAGTAACACCGGTGATCTAAAGGTTAAGCGTTTACGAGAGACCGAAAATCATTGGTTTGAGTCCCGAGTACTGGATGGTGAAAGGTCACTTCTGATGACTCATATACTAGAACTGAACGGATAAATGTACAATACTTTCAGACTTTCATTGGTATTCTAACATTGATCATTTCTTAATTTCAAATAAACTCAATACGCCCCACAACCTCTAACTGACAATCTTGCCAATATGTTAAATAAAATGGAAAGAATATTGAATAGCAATAACTGGTTTATTCTATTTAATAACATTATGATCCTGAATCCCTATTTTATAGTAAGAGGTAAGCTTCATGAATAGTTAATATGACAAAGCCTCATAAATAATAACAGGATTGTTATCCTACTTTATTTACGATACCACCTTGACAGATGAGAAAACATGATGAAAAACTATATATATATATATACCCAAATTATTTAAAACATATGTACAGTTAGTAGAACATAAAAGTTGGCTATTTGTTTATCAACGTTTTTACAAATCAGTTGACTAAAGAGTTACATGATATTTACCTTTTCCTTCTCTATATTTGGTTATTCATTAAAAAATTCAAAACTGTTCGAATAACATTTTAAGGAAAATAACTTAAAACAATTAATGAGTTTTCATTGTTTTGATTCATAAAAACAATAAACAGATTCATTTAATGAAGATATCGTTGCAGATCCAAGTATACTTTAAAACTGTGAACTTATAGTGGAAATAGATTCAGTATTTGTATTCTATTACACAATATCATGTTTTTCTAGTATTGTTTCGTGTTAAAATAGAAATGGTAAAAACTATAGAAGGAAAGATAAACAGAAATGATTAGTTCACTGCATGTTGCAATAGATGTCATGTTTACATGAAAATGCTTTGCATGCAATACTAAGTTGTTAAGATTAAAGATTTTTTTTCTGACATGAATAATAAAGTTTGATCATTACTAAAAGACCAAACAACAGAACAGTAGTTTCTATTGAGTAAACAATCAGTGTTATTATTTTAGGCCAACAGAATGTTAGTCGAGGCCTGAATTATTTAACAGAAACATATTTGACTATTTCAGTGGATGATATGAATTCTGGCCTGTTAAGAAGTGCTTACTGTTTCAAGACTCGCGATAAGGTGTGATGTTGAGTGCAGACTTACATAAAACTTGGGTCTATACTTACTTACTTACGCCTGTTACTCCTAATGGAGCATAGGTCACCAACCAGCACTCTCCAACCCACTCTGTCCTAAGCCCTCTTTTCTACTTCCATCCAGTTCTTATTCATTTTTCTCATGTCTAGCTCCATTTTTCGGCGTAATGTGTTCTTTGGTCTTCCTCTCCTCCTTCGACCTTCAGGATTCCATGTGAGGGCTTGTCTTGTGAATCAGTTGGGTGCTTTCCTCAATGTGTGTCCTATTCACTTCCAACGCTTCTTCCAGATTTCTTCCCCCAATGTAATCAGGTTTGTTCTCTCCCACAGTAGGTTGTTGCTAATAGTGTCTAGCCAACAGATCCGAAGTGTTTTGCGTGGACAAGTGTTAATAAACACTTGTATCTTCTGGATGATGGCTTTCGTGATTCTCCAGGTTTTCGCCCCATATAGTAGAACTGTTTTGACATTTGTATTGAAAATCCTGACATTGGTGTTGACTTGTGGACAGTTGTTTTGAGTTCCAGATGTTCTTCAGTTGTAAATATGCTGCTTTTGTTTTGCCGATCCGCGCCTTCACATCTGCATCAGATCCACCCTGTTCATCGATGATGCTTCCCAGATATGTAAAGGGTTTTACATCTTCCAAACCCTCTATGTCAGGTGTGATTGATTTGGTTCATACTGTAATGTACCGGGGAATCTCGCATTTCCCTTTGTGTATATTGAACCTACTGCTGCTACAATTGTCGTCTTCTCCTGCATTTGTTGTTGCATGTGTGATAGAAGAGCCAGATTATCTGTGAAGTCTAGATCATCCAACTCCAAACTAGCTGTCCACTATATCCCATGCTTCCTCTCAGATGATGACGTCTTCATGATCCATTCGATCTCCAGGAGAAGGAGAAAGGGTGAGAGTAAGCAAACTTGACTGACACCGGTCTTTACTTCGAACGACTTTGTCAACTGTCCTTCATGTACGATTTTGCAGTTTTATCCATCTTAGGAATTCCGTATGACGTTGAATATCTTCTGAGGCACGCCGTGGTATCGAAGAAGCTTCCATAGTGTCGTTCTGTCCACTCTGTCAAATGCTTTCTCGTGGTCAATCAGGCTGATGTAGAGTGATGAATTCCATTCGATTGATTGTTCCGCAATGATCCGTAGAGTTGCGATTTGGTCTGTACACGATCTATCCTTACGAAATCCAGCCTGTTGGTCGCGAAGTTAAGCGTCTATTTAACAATACCGTGTTGAAGACTTTTCCTGGTATTGAGAGAAGAGTGATTCCCCTGTAGTTTTCACAGTTGCTGAGATCGCCTTTCTTTGGTATTTTGACTAGAAGTTCTTCTTTCCAGTCTTTTGGTACCTGTTCTTCATCCCAAATCTTTCTGAAGAGAATGTGAAGTATCCTTGCATTTACTGCTACATCTGCTTTCAGTGCCTCTGTTGGAATGTTGTCTGATCTGGTGTTGCTTTGCCGCCCTTGATTTGTCAGATGGCCGTGCTGATTTCTTTAATTGTTGGTGGGCCAACATCGATTTGGAGGTGTGTGGGTGCTACTTCGATGTTGGGTGGGTTCAGTGGGGCTGGTCGATTCAAGAGTTCTTTGAAGTGTTCTACCCACGTGTTTTGCTGTTCTTTGATGTTGGTCTATACTTACTTACCAACTATCTTTAATCATCTTACTACAGTTCTTAGAGCTAACCAAATGTAATTACTTGAGTTGAAATATTAGCATCAGGTTAAATAATGTGAGATCATAGTTGATTGTATTTAGTGTTGAACTACTGAAGACAACCGACAGGTGAGTCTAAATCTATGTTCTCTGTTGTTTGACTCTCAATATTAACACAATTACATACCTGATGTTAAGTTCTCTACTCGAATACGCACGAAAAGACTCTATAACGGATGACACTCAAACGTTATAACCTCCAATCGCTCTCAAGTAAGAAGATGAAAGACGTTTGTGAGCACTTATTGACAAGAATCAAAATATACAATCAAACATGAGTATTTATACAAAATTATATATATAATCAATATTGTCATTTAAAAATTCTTAAACATTCATCAATAAGTTAATCAATTGACTGCTATTCAAATACTTAACATCTGATCGATAAGTTAATCGATAACTTAGTCAATCGGCTATGTACGTGGGTGGCTTCTCGGTGGCCATCCCAACACCTGATAAAACTGAGGTCTTCCACATGTATTTCATACCATACCATGAAATATCACATATAGGAGACTTGATACAATGAGACTTTGAGTCGATTAGTGTGAAAATATCAGCTTTCTAAGAATTACTCATTTTCCACATAACTTAGTGGTTATATTTTGAATTATGACGTTGAATGGTATGAATTTGAATCCCACAATAAATATTAGTTGTTTTATAGTAGGAGACGGACCTAAATAAAGAGTGCAAATAAGCACGAAAAGTAGGTTTAAGATTTAGTGCTGATTACCAACAAATTATTTGATAGTCAACAAGTTAACTGAGTTTTAAAATTTAGAAATAAATATGCTTTAAAATTAAATATCATGCTCATCATGTAATATTGCCACCTAAATGAACTCATTTACTTATTCCTAATAATTTTTCCTCGTATGTAAAAATAGCGAGTTTTTATTATTTCTATATGTTTATATATAATAGATGAACATGACTAACAATGGTATTCAGGAAGATTATCTAGTCTTATTTAGAACTTGTCAGTCGAATTTACCGACATCTAAGAGTTGATGTTGACTTCAAGAATCAAACTCAGTATCGTTCGCTTCCAATGCCAGCACGATATTGATTAAACTACCGAATCCATATAGCTACTCAAGTATGCAAGAGGTATGGATTTTAATTTAGTTTGTAATGTTTCAGATTATCGGTTAAGCTCTTTTGTTAACTTATGTAGCGGACAAAGTCATCTGTACTATAACAACTTATTGTATCTTTATTATTGTAGTGCTTGTATGAAATATGTATGCTTGAACATTGTTACCGCCTACGCGTATATTCATTCTGCTAGCTTTATTACTAGCTGCTTAATCGATTCGACGATCCATTCATTTCCCTATATATCCATGTATATTTAACACTCTACACACTCGGTTCGCTGACTGACTCATTCACCTCTCTGCTTTGTGGTCTAAGTTATCTGCTAATAAAACTGTAGTCGCTGCTTCTCTTTGCCTTCTGAGTTCAAATACGGTTGAGGATTATATGATAACGGTTACGAGGGTGATTGGTTAACGAAGTACAGCCACTACAAATAACGTATTAGCGTCGAAAGCCAATGATACTGGGTTTTAGT